TCCGGGATGGAGCCTCCGCTACCGAGAAAGAAAGGTTCAAAAGAAGAAGATTCGTTACGAAAAGGCTCGTCATCACAACAGACAAAGAACGCGCTTATGGGAACAGAAACTAGCAGGTATTCGTTCACATTTGGGTGTCAAATATTCGGTGAATGCTGTTGGAAGTGCAGTGGCAAGGGAGCATCCTGAAAACAAGCATTAATTATTTCAATTTCTAAAAAACCCTACTTGATTTAGAATCTCCTATAGGATTGCAATCAACTTAGTGCGTTGGAATGAAATGATATCAATAATTCTATCACAAATTAAACTCTAACATACTACTAGAAATCTTACATATGTTGGTAAAAAGAAGAATTAAAATTAATCCAAATCTTCCTTTTATACTGTCAATGTCGGATTTTTGACAAATCTTCTACAGTCACTTCTCATCTGCATTTTACCACAAATAATTCTCTGGAATTTTTTCGTGCTGTTTGCAGAAGCATGGTTTTGTTCTAAGGTTTTTTTGCAATCAATTTATAACGGGTCAATTGCATCTGTTATCTAAAAAACAGATAATTTCAGCCACACCATTGTGCAGCCAGTGATTTTAGTTGTACCAACAGAAAATATTGCATCTACTGTGGAAGCTATCAAGAGGTGAGACAAATTTGCTCGTAAAATTATCGAAAATAAAATGTAGTCTTTCGATTTTGGTATTTGTACCTTTGAGGTGTTAATGAATAGTAAGACTAATTTCTTTTTTTCAATAATCGTCTTCCAGAGCGTTTCGTTCCACTGCAGAAGCGGCAGTGCAAGTTCACCCCTTCGACTTTGCACCAGCGATTGAAAAGGCTACAGTAGCTGTGGGAATGGTAATTTGATCAATTATCGATCGAAAAATCAAAAAAAAAATTTATGAGTGTTTTCTTCCAGGATCAACCATCATGCTTTGATTTTTGTGGTCAAGCCAACTCAATCAATGCACCGTTCTTCTATCAGACAGGTACAACCAACACTGGTACCGCAAACGCTTCGTCCAGCACGGAACAACCCATGTTAGATTTTGCGCAAAGTTCTACATTCTGCTATGATGCGCAGCAAACACCGGAACAGGTAGTAAGGCA